CCTGATTCTAAGCTAAGGGTTTTTGGAAAGTCTTTGAGGCTTGGCGGAGAATGTATTTTATGCAGGGGGCGCGAGGTCCTTTGACATAGCTCGCGCCAACGAAGCTCTATGTCATCGGGCAGGAAAACGTACCTGCGCGTGGAGTACCTGGGCAAGTTGTTGCAGCTGGTATCCACTATACTGCTTGTGACATCATGTACCCTCAAAACCCGGAATCCTCGGTCCTCAAATAATTTCAAGTCCGAACGCTCCAGATGGCTTGCACCTTGGGACATCGGCATTAGTACTCCTACTACTTCATTCTCATCAACATGCAGGAGATCTCCGGACAGGGAAGCCAATGAGAGTTTACTCTCTTATCTCCGTGTGTGTGGGTGGTGGTTACTTTCTTTGGCCTTAAAAAGGGTTCCCATATGGCGTGCAAGTCTTGTGTGGTGCTAAAGTTCCAGCATCGTCCCAGCACTGCAAGCTGCGTTCTTGGAGCTGCCCTAAGCCCTAAACCCTAAACCCCCAAGTCCAAGTGCTTATCTTCAAGATTCAAGGTAAACGACGGTTACTCGGACCCCTGGGAGGATCCAAAAAGTAGATCCCTGAAAGGGTTCCTAAGAATGCCCCGCAAGAGTCGTATAGGGCATTATGTGGGGGGTTCTACTTATTGGATCCTCCCAGGGGAATGGCCATGAAGGCGTATCTTAGCTTTCTCCAACAGTTCGCAATAAAACCAGGGGTATACTCCCCCCCCCCCAGGTTGCCCCCATAATTCAGGCCATTCAGGGATGGTTTAGCCTGATTAAAGGTTATTTAAGGGGAACCTAGGGGGAGGGTAGTATCGAGGGGGGAACCCATAATACAGGAAAGGCCAACGTTCCCTAAACCCTAGACCCTAAACCCTAAACCCTAAACCCAAAACCCTAAACCCCAAGCCCTAAATGTAATGTTGCAGACCTCAAGATCGGGGGATGAGGGGCGGACGTAGGGGTGCGGCTTGATAAACCCTAAAGCCGGCTTAAACCCAAAAGCCGAAACCCCAGGGGTTAGGGTTTGGGGTTTGGGGTTTGGGGTTTAGGGTTTAGGGTTTAGGGTTTAGGGTTTAGGGTTTAGGGTTTAGGATTCAGGGTTTAGGGGTTGGGATGAGCACAATCCCGCCCTCTGGCAAAACAGACCGATCAGTAGGACGATTTTTTTCAGGCGAGCACACAGCAGCTGCAAAAGATGCAGCGGAGACCAGCCCCGAAGATGCTGTTGCAGAATCGAGTTTTGGGATGTAGGGTTTAGGGTTTAGGGTTTAGGGTGCAATACAGTGTTCTGAACGTGCACGAAAGGTTCAGTCAGGGAAGCTCAAAGAGAATCACAGCAAGGGAGCCGGAGGTTTCTCAGGGGGGAACTACTATAGGAGCCTGAAAAAAATCCAATAGGGTGTTGGGGGGTTCGTGTGGTATGTTTATATGGCGACCATAATAGGAATGCTACTCGTAATCATTCCGACCCCTGAGTTTAACCGACAAAGCCACGGCGCGGCCATTGGGAAGATCGGAGTTTAGGGTGGCGGAGATAAGGGCCCTAAACCCTCAGCCCTTAGCCCCGGCCTAAACCCTAAACCCCAAACCCCAAACCCCAAACCCTAAACCCTAAACCCCAAACCCCAAAACCCTACATAAACCCTAAACCCTAAACCCCAAACCCCAAACTGTCCCGGGGCGCACCGGGTCAGTGCTGCGCCAAGCATCGTGGGCACAGTACCTCTAGGGTTTAGGGGCCTACGGGTTTAGGGGCTTAGGGGTTTAGGGGTTTAGGGGTTTAGGGTTTAGGGTTTAGGGTTTAGGGTTTAGGGTTTAGGGTTGGGGGTTTAGTGTTTAGGGTTCCGGGTTTGGGGTCTGGGTGTAGGGTTTAGGGATTCTCGGGGCTCAAAGGGGTCGGATTTAGGGGCTCAGGGGTGCAGCCGTGGTAGCTTAGGCTTTCCTGGGCTTTTTCTCTGGAGTCCAGAAACAAGAGGGGAGTCATTCTAAACGCCCTTATCCTTACTTCTCCGAATAGCCGAGGCAAAAAATTAAACTTTATTATTCCTACTAAATCAGGAAACCCAAAAAGCTTAAAGTTCAGCTGTTGGAGAAGTAAGTATCTAGACCCAAGCATAACTTAGGAACAAGAAGGGTGCCCCAATAGATACTCTGGGTCCTAGCCTTATGGTAAGAAAGGTAGGAAGGTAGACTGGGTCGACGAAGGCAATGGAGCTTCGCACGGGCTAAGAATGGCTGGGAGGTGCAAGCGGCAAGATGTTTGATGTTTCCCTAAACCTAAACCCAAAACCCAACACCGAACACCCTAAACTGACAAAAGGACCTGGGAGGTGTATGGGAGCAACCCTAAACCCTAAACCCTAAACCCCTAAACCCCTAAACCCCTAAACCCTAAACCCTAAGCCCCATACTACTATTGAGTCATCCTTCGGAACCCTTAAGGGAGTTCTACTTTTTGGAACCTCCCGGGGGTCTGGGAACTAAACCCTAAACCCTAAACCCTAAACCCTAAACCCTAAACCCTAAACCCTAAACCCTAAACCCTAAACCCTAAACCTTACCCTAAACCCTACACCCTGCATGCAAGGGAGGCACGCTGCTTTGCGACCGATCCTCGCAGAGAAACCGTTCACCTCGGCATCTCAGGGACATCTGGGAGGAGCAGAAAAGTAGAACCCCGATAAGGGTTTAGGGTTTAGGGCTTAGGGCTTAGGGCTTAGGGTTTAGGGCTTACCCCCAAATAGTACCCTAGACAACTCTTGGGTCATTTTCTGGGAACCCCTAAGGGGATCTACTTTTTGGATCCTCCCAGGCCGGCAGTATGAAGACCGCTAGCTGGGGGATTTAAGGGTTTGAGGGCTTCGTGTTGAAGGTTGAAAGGTTGGGGGCTTCTTAGGGTTTAGGGCTTTAGGGCTTCTCTGGGGTTTAGGATACCCTAAACCCTAAACCCTTACTTTAAACCCTAAACCCCAAACCCTAAACCCTAAACCCTATACCCTAAACCCTAAACCCTAAACCCCAAACCCTAAACCCTATACCCTAAACCAGGTTGAAGGGCTTAGGGCTGTTTAGAGCTCGGGGCTTGAGGGCTTCCATCGGGTGTAGCCCTCGCAGGCAGAGGTATCCCAGACCCCTGGGAGGATCCAAAACGTAGGTCCCTTAAAAGGGTTCCGAAGACTGACCCAGAAGTAGTATAGGGTTTAGGGTTTAGGGTTTACGGTTTAGGGTTTAGGGTTTCGGGTTTAGGGTACTTTTTGGGGGCTCTGCTTTTTGGATCCTCCCAGGGGTCCGGATTTGACGCGCGCCCGCTATTGATGTGTGCCCCTGCACATGATCCTCTTAAACCCAATAATGGAAAACCTTAAGGGTCCATGTGCCTAAATATGGAATACTTCGGCCTTAAAGTACCTCCTATTTAGGGATTTTAGGGCCCAAGTACACAATACTGAGGTACACGGACCCTTAGGGAAACATAACAATGTCCCAAGGGCCTACCGAGAACAGGGCTGCAGAGCGCTGAGCACTGCGAACATGGAGGGTTCTTGTGGTAGCGTGCAGCAGTACCGGTTATCACCACAACGGTGCCGTATAGACTACCAGTAGAGACTCCCAGAAATAGGGATCCCAGAATTCTAGAGAGGCTTCCTTAACTCGACTATGGATACATTAACCCTACTTATGAACCCTTATCAGCCCTTATGAACTTTGTAATTCCTAACCTGGAACCCAGATCGCTTAAACCCAGACCCCTGGGAGGATCCAAAGATGGAACCCCCAAATCATGCCCTAAACTTCTGTTGGGATATGCGTAGGAACCCTTTAAGGGATCTGCTGTTCGGATCCTCCCAGGGGTATGGGTAGCTATCCATGAAAGCCTTTATGCAACACGACTTCAAACGTGGAAGGCCCGGTAGGATCCATCGACAAGGGGCTGAAACTGAGGCCCTGGCTACAAAGTACACAGGACGCCTGCAAGATGCGGATTAGGTGTTCAGGGTTTAGGGTTTAGGGTTTAGGGTTTAGGGTTTAGGGTTTAGGGTTTAGGGTTTAGGGTTTAGGCTTTGTGGAAAGCAGGCCCAGTGAACCAAAACCATGAGCCCGTGTCTGTTGTTTCTTCAGCAGTTGCTAGGAACATCTGCTCTAATTGCTCAAGCTCTCGAGGGTCGTGCCAGCACCAGGAAGAAGCAGAAAAAGAAGAAAAAGTAGAAGAAGAAGAAGCAGACGAAGAATAAAACAAAAACAAGAAGAATAATAATAAGAATAAGAAGAATAAGAAGAAAAAACAATAATAAGAAGATCAAAAAGAATACGAAGAATAATACGAAGAAGAATAATAATCACACTCCCCGTACTGCCATGACGGCTCCCAAATTATACGTTAGACCCTTCGCGTTCGGACTAGAGGCCAATACTATGGGTAGTTTGGCGCTGCTACGTGCCTTAGTTGTGGGCGTGGCGTGGTGTTGTTGTTGAACATCTTCCATGCGCTTCGAACTGTATGCTGAGAATGTTCATGCGGTTGTCGCGGTAGCCCGAAACCCTAACCCATAAACCCTTCACGACTAAAATCCCGAACCTTCAAGCAGAGACCCCGAGCCTTCAAACCGACACCCCATATGCGATGTCCAATACCTTCCGAGCCTGACTACTATACAGAACATGGAACCCTAGCAAAAATGTTGATTCTAGCTGCTTCTTAGGAATCATAGTACCCAAAAATTAAGAACTATTTCCAAGTACCCCTAAATCACTGAGCAGAGCAGAGCGCGGCACAATTTTGCGGACGGATGCTTCGATCAACCGATGTGGGGCAAACTCAAGCGGCCTGGGCACAGGCCCGGCCGTCATATGAGATATCTTGCAGCAAACAAAAAGTCTGGTCGGCAAACCCTAGGCTACCAGCAACAAAGCGGCTTACAATTCAATTTCAGGGCGCTGCACAAGCCGACAAACACAGCAAAAAGCCGGGTGTGGATATCAAAGCTAGGCAATGGCATCCTCCATTGAGGAGCAGCAAGGAGCTCCCACCACACTCGACTTGCTCAAGTCCACCGCATGCTTGTGGCGCTTCATGCGGCGTAGGACAAACCTTGGCTGCAAAATTAGCTGCCTTCTTAAGAAACCCAATAAGCCCAAAAAGGCTAAAGATGTAAAGTTACAGTAAAGCACCACAAAGAAACCAAGCAAAGGCGAACCCGACGAGGATGCAGGAAAACATGACCGCTTCGTAGGTCATGGTCAGGAGCATCACCTTAGTTGCTGAGTTCATAAGGTTCGCAAAAAGTGTAGACTGTCAGTTCTATAGGGGACTATATCCCAAGGGTTTAGGGTTTAGGGTTTAGGGTTTAGGGTTTAGGGTTTAGGGTTTAGGGTTTAGGGTTTAGGGTTTAGGGCTTAGAAAGTGTCTTCACCTACCAAGTCACCGAGTACGCCAAGAACATCTGCAAGCCGAAGAGGACGGCAGCCAAGGCATCGTAGAGCATTCCCATCACCCTCCCCTTGGAGGCCGAGCTCTCCACCACCATCTCACCTCTACTGAACTTGGAAGGGTTTAGGGTTTAGGGTTTAGGGTTTAGGGTTTGGGGTTTGGGGTTTGGGGTTTGGGGTTTGGGGTTTAGGGTTTAGGAAACCCTAGCGAAGATTATGATTTTAGCTGCTTCTTTGGAATCATAATACCCAAAAAATGGAAATCTTTCCAAGTGTCCCTAAGTCACGGATGGACTGTAAGGCCACGATTGCGACGGGCATGAGAAAGGAGCCGAGGCAGCCAGCAAAGTATTTACCAGCATCATTCCTGCACAATTTCTGTTGGGGTCCCAGACCCCTGGGAGGATCCAAAAACATAGAACCCCCAAAAACAGTACCCTCTACTACTATTGGGTCATTCTTAGGAACCCTTAAGGGGATCTATTTTTTGGATCCTCCCAGGGGTCTGGCGTACTATTTACAAAGATGATCGTGTTTGTTCCTTACTACGGTTTACGTGTTCATGAAAAATATGTAAAGTGCTTTTCAACAATGACTACGGCTTAAGAGTTCAGAAAACATGTAGAATGCTGTTCATCAATTGACCATTTACAAAGATGATCATGTTTGTTCCTTACTACGGTTTAAGAGATCACAAAAAGTGTAGAATGCTGTTCATCAATTGACCCAGATTCATCACCCACCCTTGGAACAAGAATAGCACGCAGGGCTGGTCGGGGCCGAAGCCCAACCTTAGCAGCCACAGTACCCATCTTAAAATCAGGGCACCCCCCCCCCCCTTTTTACTATTACTATTACTATTATTATTACTATTACTATTATTATTATTATTATTAGTATTATTAGTATTATTAGTATTATTAGTATTATTAATATTATTATTTATTCTTGTTATTATGGATATATATATATATATTTTTTTTTTTTTTGGGGGGGGGGGGCTGGTTACTTGAATAAGCGAACCCCATAACCCACCTCAAGAAAGCCAAGCAACTGGAATCCTGACATCATAACCCGGCCTGACCCTGCACAGAAAGCGTCGCCATCGCCACTACCCATTTCGGGCATGTCGTGCGCGTGGTCGTGATCCATGGCGGCGGTCAAAAGTTTGTCTCTACCAGGTCGAGGCTTGTTTTGAGTCAGGAGGAATCTGCAAGGTGGATCGAGATGGACGTCAGTGGCCGCATGTGCGTGAAGCCCGCTACGTCATTGGGGCCCTTTGGGCCCCGAAACCCTAAACCCTAAACCCTGAACCCTGAACCCTGAACCCTAAACCCTAAACCCTCAACCCTAAACCCCAACCCCCAAAGTGCCCTTAAGCCCAAGAGCCTCCTGCACTGAGGCGCTTCCTGAAGCAGCGCTCCCCGCGCTGCTGCCCCGACGGCTCCGGCTGCCTCTTGGGGTTTTGGGTTTAGAGTTAAACCCTAAACCCTAAACCCTAAACTCTAAACCCTTCAGGGTTTAGGGCTTGCGGCTTAGGGTCTTTGAGGGTTTCGGAGGAGCTTGGAGTTCAGGGTTTAGGGTTGAGGGTTTAGGATGCTTTTGCTGGTTCTTGAAAGTAGAGAAACTTGTTGCTTTTCCCTAAACCCTAAACCCTGAAACCCTAAAACCCTAAAACCCTAAAACCCTAAAACCTTAAAACCCTAAAACCCTAAAACCCTAAAAACCCTAAAAACCCCAAAACCCCAAAACCCTACAACCCTAAAACCCTAAAAGCTAAACCCTAAACCCTAAACCCAGTGGGGGGGAGGAAGCTAGGCAAGCTTCCTGCACCCTATGCAGGCCCCTGCCGGTGGAGGGCTTAGGGTTTTGGGTTTGGGGTTAGGGTTTAGGGTTTAGGGTTTAGGGTTTAGGGTTTAGGGTTTAGGGTTTAGGGTTTAGGGTCCCCTGGGCGGATCCAAAAAATGGATCCCCTTAAAGGTTCCTAAAAATGACCCCATAGTCGTCTAGGGTACAGTTTGGGGGCTCCATTTTTTGGATCCTCCCAGGGGTTTGGTACAGATGATCCTCTTAGAACCCTAGAAGGGAAGATGGGAGTATGTTCCAAAAAATAGAAATCCCCCACCCCCCCCCCCCCCCCCCCCCCCGGAAAAATGCTCCAAAACATGATTCCTCTAGGGTTTAGGGTTTAGGGCTTAGGGAAAAACATTCCTAAAGATCCTCTTGAACCCCAGGAGGGAGCATATTTCTAAATAAGAACCCTCTTAAACCCAACCGGGAAGGGAAATTATTCCGAAGTACGATCCTCTTGAACCCCACAAGGGAAACCCTAAACCCTAAACCCGAAAACCCTAAACCGATTTTGAAACATCACAAGGGCCTACCCTGGGATGAAAGCCCGGCAGACGACCTCGAAACTGGAACGACGTGTTGGATTCCAAGTTCACCAAGAAAAGAAAAGGATGGGTTTAGGGTTTAGGGTTTAGGGTTTAGGGTTTGGGGTTTAGGGTTTAGGGTTCAGGGTTTAGGGTTTAGGGCTTAGGGCTTAGGGTTTAGGGTTTAGGGTTTCGGGTTTAGGGCTTGTAGGGACTACAAGAAGAAGCTCCTTCTGGGAATCTTAGAGACCATCCCCGACCTCGCGGCTTCGCCGGCACGTTCCGTGCACTCTCGCGCTCCGAGGCCTTGGGTTGTAGAGTTACCCTAAACCCTAAACCCTAAACCCTAAACCTTAAACCCTAAACTCTAAACTCTCTAAACTCTAAACTCTCTAAACTCTAAACTCTCTAAACTCTAAACCCTAAACCCTAAACCCTAAACCCTAAACCCTAAACCCGGGAGCCCAAACCCTAAATTCTAAAGTCCTTGAAAACAATTCCTGAATATGATCCTCTTCAACCCAAAACCTTTCAACATATCCTGAGATCGGCATTCGAGAGGTTCGGGGTCTCTAGGGTTTAGGGTTTTAAGGTTTAGGTCCACGTGGGCTGAGATTCTGTTTGGGTTTACAGCTTGCTTCAGGCTTTGGTGTTTAAGGTCTGGGGTCTAGCGCTTACGGGATGCCTGAAGTCCCATGCATACTTAGAAGTAGGGCATCTGCAGCAAACACTCCTTCCACCTCTTCTTCTGCTGCCTTGCGTGCTAGGCCATAAGTTCACATCCCAGCCTGACCAATTGAGGCACTCACATATACCCCTAGATCCTAACCCTAAACCGTAAACTCTAAAACCCTAAACACTAAACCCTAAACCCAACCCCTAAACCACTAAACCCCGAAGGCCCGAAAGCCCTAAATCCTAAGAATTGAACTCGAAACTCCTAAACGTTGATTCCCCAGCTTTTGGGGTAATTTGGGAACCCTTCTATGCCCCTTATATACCCTATAATTAAAACCCAAGGGCCCATAGCTCAGAACCCTTGAAAGAAGGGAAGGGGCCACATTCAGGGACCAGGTAACTACCATTAGACCAGTAACCTGCGAACGGCAATAGGGTGCCGCAGACTTTCTTCTTTGGTTTAAGGGCCCCCGAATTTAGGGTTCAGGGTTTGAGGGCAAGGGATTTTAAACAGGCAAGATGGGCACCATTGGGTACGTACCCTGGAAATGCGAACCCCAAACAATCCGAACGCCGAAGCAGAAAAAACCCGCCCTAAACCCAAACCCTAATTAAACCCTAAACCCTAAACCCTAAGCCCTAAGCCCTAAGCCCTAAACCCTAAACCCTAAACCCCGAGCCCTTGAGCACGCAGCAGACATCGGGGAGGCTCCGGCATCGAGCACGTTCATGCCTCAGGCGAACCACAAAGCCTAGTACCCCAAACTGGTTTGGGGTTTAGGGTTTCGGGTTTAGGGAAACTACCTGGGACCATCTTTACCTTATGAAAGATATCATGGAAGCCTTTTGGTCCTAGATTAGTGCTTAATAGTGTTGAATAAGGCTAAGTAAGGTGAACTGGTAACCAGTGCCAATGTAGCTAGTGTTGGGTTCTTTGGTGATGAGGTTTACCTATAATCCTCCTGCCCCTTTCGGTCCAACGGTTCATGCTGGGCCGTGCGACCTGGGGCCCGGAGGATGGGACAAGGGTCTTATGAACCGTGGTACTGGGGCTGTGGCAGGGATGAAGATGTTAGCTGAAAGTATGGGTTTCAAACCATCAACATGAGATGCTAGCGATTTCTGGCTTTCATGGGGTATGCAAGGCCTTGGCACTGTATGGGACATCTCTCCAATCCATTCGGAACGGTCGCTCTCTCATCTGACGGACACGGCCATGCGAACGCGTTTTTGCAAGCTGCACCCATCATGACGTCGTCGGGTCTTCAGAGATCTGTCAGATCACCGAACAAGCTCTGCGCAAGGGCTGATTTGTTTTGCTGGCCGTCTGACGCATCAGAGGCCCCCTCTCCAAGCTTAGCATCCTCGGCTGAGCGTTTCACGCCAGCTGGTGCTGGATTCTCCCATTTGGCCACTCTCTCCATAGGAAAGTCTTTGCACTCACCCTTGGCGTCTCCCGAGAGCATTTTGACACGGATTGTGTTTTTCAGGATTTTCACTACCTCAGCTTTGCAACCGTCATACTTGGGCTTGTGTGTGTCCGACTCTGTGTTTTCACAAAGTCTCCGATTTTGTACTCGAGTGATCCTTCTGCTGTTGGGCCTTCTTTTTGGGCCAGCTCTGGCCCTGGCTCTTGAGTTCCTGAATCACCCTTGCCCTTGAGCGGCGACTCGGTCTCAAGCATGCTTTTCACATGCCGGAGAAGTGCAGACACATGTGGCAAATTGCTTTTTTTCACGTGTGAAGCAACAATGCGCGCATACTGCTTGAGCAACGCGGCATCCATGCCCTCATCGAAATGGTTGTCAGGATCGGTTGGCAGCGCAGTGCCTAGCTTCTCATTGCTAACCTCTAGAAACAAAGATTTTGTCAAATCGGGTTTGCCCCCTGGCAAGCTGTACATCTTCGCGAGGTCACGCAACAAGGACTTGTGCAGTGGGTGACTGACAAGTTCGGCACACTCAAGGGTCACGAGTGTGTTGCACACAGCCCAATACGACTCGGGCTGCATGCTCTTGTAATGCTGAGCGCTGCCTACAGCAAACTTGTGTAGATCTTGCAAGCATCCAATGATGGGATGATCCTGACCCTGGCTCAGGTCGAACCATTCACGGCACCAGTCAAAACGCTTTGGGTTCTCGAACAAGAATTTCAGCTTGTCCTCCATGGCTTGAAAGCAGCCCCCCCTAGGATACCAATTTTTCTGACATCTATTGAGTTGAGGGATTTGGGGGTTTAGGGCTCCCTGACATGTACGGAGTCTATGGATTTTGGGGTTTGAGATACCCTGACATGTATTGAGTTTATGGATTTGGGGGTTTAGGGTACCCTGACATGTACTGAGTTTATGGGTTTTTGGGTTTCGGGTACCCTGACATGTAGTGAGTTCATGGATTTTGGGGGTCTAGGACACCCTGACATGTATTGAGGTTATGGATTTTGGGGTTTTGACATGTACTGAGTTTACGGATTTTGGGGGGTTTAGGATACCCTGACATGTGTTGAGTTTATGCTGAGTTTATGGGTTTTTGGGTATAGGGTACCCTGACATGTACTGAGTTTATGGATTTTGGGGCTCAGGGGAACGCAACGGCGTCCCCGACATAAGAGTCTTACATCAGAAATGCACACAACCACGCTTTAGGAGGCGGCGGGGCCTCGCGCCAGCCTCGACATGAGTGGAGGGCCTCCAATCCCTCGTGTTTGGGGGTCCCAGCAAGGGTGTGAGGGGGCAGTGAAGGGCCTCTAATTTTACGGAGGGCCTGAAGCGGCAGTGAAGGGCCTCTAATCCCTCATGCTTCGGGGGTGGGGTCCCAGGATGGGAGTGAAGGGCCTCTAATCCCTTGTGCTTCGGGGGTGGGAGGGCCTGAAGGGGCAGTGAAGGGCCTCTAATCCCTCATGCTTCGGGGCCCAGGATGGGAGTGACGGGCCTCTAATCCCTTGTGCTTCGGGGTTGGGGGCAGTGAAGGGCCTCTAATCCCTCATGCTTGGGGGCCCAGGATGGGAGTGACGGGCCTCTAATCCCTTGTGCTTCGGGGTTGGGAGGGCCTGAAGGGGCAGTGAAGGGCCTCTAATCCCTCATGCTTCGGGGCCCAGGATGGGAGTGACGGGCCTCTAATCCCTTGTGCTTCGGGGTTGGGAGGGCCTGAAGGGGCAGTGAAGGGCCTCTAATCCCTCATGCTTCGGGGCCCAGGATGGGAGTGACGGGCCTCTAATCCCTTGTGCTTCGGGGTTGGGAGGGCCTGAAGGGGCAGTGAAGGGCCTCTAATCCCTCATGCTTGGGGGCGTCCCAGGATGGGAGTGAGGGGCCTCTAATCCCTCGTGCTTTGGGGGTGGGAAGGCCTGAAGAGGCAGTGAAGGGCCTCTAATCCCTCATGCTTCGGGCGGGGGGTGCCAGGATGGGAGTGAAGGGCCTCTAATCCCTTGTGCTTCGGGGAGCCAATACACATAAACTCAATACACGTCAGGGACCCACTCTACAAACCCATGAGTAGGTTATACTGCGGGTTCCCCCCTCCCTGCCCCTTGCGGTCCAACGGTTCGTGCTGGCCGTGCGACCTGGGGCTCGGGAGGGGGGGGGGCACTCTACAAATTTAGGAAAAATAGGTTGCTTATGAGTTCCCAAACCCTCTTCCCAAGATTCCACAACTTCCCCCACCCCTTCATGCGAGCTGTCTTCCCCGCCCTTTGAGAAGCCCTGAAAGCCACTTACACTTCAATCTCACAAAAGAATTGTTTACTTTGCCCAGCTGTCCCTGTCAGCAGTTGGTCCCAGCATCGTTTGTCCGAAGGCTATCTGGTCGACGAGGTCGGCTGGAAGCTGTGAGCTCCGTTGCTCTTGTATTTTCGCAAGCATACCTAATCTGTCCTGTCGGCATTGTTTATCTTTACGGCCAACAGGAATGCTCGGCTACGCAGATACCGCGACAGAAAGCGGCTTAACCCTAAACCCGAAACCCTAAACCCCCAACCCCTAGACCCTAAACCCTAACCCCCAAACATCGGGAACACAGCAGTTTCAACAAGCCCCCTGTCCGCATTGGAAAGCTCATGGCTCTGCTTGACATGGGCAAAGTCTGCTTCCACCCGCGCCCGCTGAAATGAAGCATAGAACTGGCTGGTGAACAACTTTTGCCTCTGAGCCAAGTTTAAGGACTTGACATCCACTTCCTGCTTGGACAGCAAGTCGTACTTGGCAATGTTCACGAGCACTTCTCCGAGAGGAGGCAAAAGCTGGGAGCTCATCGCCTGCACCGTGGCCAAGTGAGGAGCAAAGTGCTTCAAGGCGTCAAACGTCTCGTGCTCTAGCAGGCTTTTGACCACGAAGCGTAGGAATTTGGACATGTGCTCTGGCAGATGCGCAAGGTCGCCGTTCTCACTCTTCTGGTCTTGGAGGTATCGCACATACCTGGCATGCGCATGAATGGACAACGCCATGCTTGAAAAAACTACGCTAAACATCATGAACTCAGCCCAGCTGCGCCCGAAGCCAGAATTCGGCCGTTCCCGGGTCATTGACGTCACTGCTGTACAGCCGGCCCTGCGCAAAGGCTGCGCTAGCATTCTTGGCGATGAGTTCTGCCGTGTCTGCCTCATTGGCATCGCTGTCCTGTTTGGTCAGCACACGCTGCTGGCTTTCAGCCGCCTCATGGATCTCCGGGGTCTTGGTCTCCTGTCAACTCACGTCTGTGGCTATCGGGGCAACAGAAGGTGACAGCTCTTGCCCGGTCCTTGGCCGGGGTCGCAAGCGAGTCTGCAGTTGTTGTCTGGAGTTGCGGAAGATTCTCCTGGGCATCTGGACCGCTCTCCACCCCGTCCAGGGCCACACTTCGCATGTAGCCTGCGGAAACTTCGAACTGCAAAACGCCCACGCCAAGCTCCGAGCGGCTGACCACCTGGTCCACCACGTAGAAGTTACCGTCTTTGTACTGCTGAGGCAAGTCTGGAAGACTGTTCGGGTCTATCAAAGCATTGCGGGTCGAAGGCAACTTCTCCAATTCCATGCCTGGGCGTTTTGGCACGACCCAAACCTTACTCAGAGAGCTTTGGATTTTGGCTTTACGGATTTTGGGGTCAAGGAACTATTAGGCGCGGCGAGGTTTCCCAACATCGTGGACCCGAAACTCTAAACCCTACACCCTCAACCCTAATACAAAGGCGGACGCCTAGAAACCATGTGCCGAATGTGTGCCCCAGAAGATACCGTCTTTGCGCAGAAACCCTTCAGCATCTTGGCTGTAACCCTGCCACCTGGATGGGCATGGCGCAGCACGACGTATAGTTTCACTGTCTCGTCGTCTGCTTTGATGCTTGCGTCTGTCTCTGACCAACGGTGAAGCATACGCATTGCTTGATCTCTTTCATTCTGACTCGGCTCTGCTTTCGCCACTTGCTCCGCAACCTCCGCTGCAGACACCATGCGAACACGCAGTCGAGACAGGACTTGTGGCGCTTGGGCTGGCACTCCGCTTTCACATCAAGACGCATATCAGGGCGGGCGAGCATCCACGACAGTGCTCCCACGAGACAAGCGTGCGAGAATGTATTTTGAAAAGCCCTCCCTAGGCGTGGCACGGCTCAAAGATGCTCAATAATGCTCAAAAACGCTCAATAGTGCAAAACAGTGCTCAATAGTGCTGAAATAGTGCTAAATAGTGCGAAATAGTGCTAAATAGTGCTGAATAGTGCAAAATAGTGCTACATAGTGCTGAATAGTTGCAACCGCTGCACTTTTCAGGGCGGGAGCTGCAGCGCCTCCGACAAGTGATTTCTGATGGCCTCGTCCGCTTTGGGGACCCCTGTTCCTCCAGAAGACACTGCGCGCTTGGCAATGTCGCATTGTAGTTTTCGCAGCTCCCTGTCAAACCACTTCTTGCGCGAGGAGACCTGCAAATGGTTCTTCATCCGGCCAAGCATCCATGCACGGCACACAAGATAGCAGACGTCTTCTTGCCCAAACTCACTCACCTGATAATGCTTCGATTGCTCGTGTGAACCGAGGACGGGCAACCAGCGAGGTAGCAGCCGCATCCGAATCCCCACATTCGGATATTGGGACAATGTGAAGTAGTTGTTGTAGTTCACGACCAGACTGCCCCGTTCCGTTCTCTCTTCCAGGGTTTTGGACTCTGCCTCGGGCCCGTCATCCACAAGCTCATCTCCCGCCGCACTGTCCTTGTGGATTCTTGGGGATATATGAACCAGCGGAGGGGAGGGACAGGTGGGACCGCAAGAAAAACACAAAAGTAAACACACAAGTTCATCGAAGCTGCAGCAGCAGATTCGATGTCTGACAACACCGACTCGCAGTCTGACGACGACGGCTCTGACAGCCCGGCATCTGAGTCGGAGTCCAGATCAGGCACCGACGGCGACGCTGTCTCTAGAGGGGTGGCCCCCTGCACCACGAGCTTGACGGCGCCAGAGGCCACTCTCGCCTTGCACATGTCCAGCTTGTACAATTTGACTGCCAGGGTACTTGCCTCCAATCCGAAGTCGCTGAGCAGGATTTCTAAGGGTTTCAGACTCTGGCAGAGCAGCGTGCCAGTGTCGAAGGAGTAAGTGCGCCCCTCTCCTTCAACCTCTGCAAGGCTGAAGGCCCAGACCTGCCGCTTCAAACTGCAGGCGTACACCACAAGCTTATCCAGGAAGGAGTCTCCAAACTGAACACAGAAAAAACCAGGGTCGCTGCGCAACAAAGGAGCAGCCCAGACCAGGCGACAAGTGGGAGCTGCCGGGTAGATCCTGTCTGCTGCAGGGAAATCCTCAGGCCGCGCCTCCTTGCGCGCGTTGAGAGCACGGCGTGATTGCGAAGCTGACCGCAAGCATGCTTGGAATTCATCGTCGTTCTCTGCCATCCAATCAAGCCACTGCCTGTTCGTGACGGGAATGGCCATCGTCGCAGAGGTTTGAAGAGCTTGCGCAGCCTGCTGGCGAATTTCTTTGGCTTCGGCCTGGAGTTGCTCCCGGCTTTCATCCATGTACCGCTTCAGCTCGGCTTCGTTGCCTTCGTGCACAATATCCTGACAGTTTCCACTTGGGGGGCTCCAGGCTGATATCTTCATGGGCTGTGGGGCAGGGGGGTGCATTCTCTCCAACGTCAGAGTCTACATTGAGTCTACATGACATGCGCTCCTGTTGGCGCGCCTTTGAGATGTCTGCTTCCCACCACAGGCGGCCTCGTCCACGCGCAAACATGTCTGGGTGTTTTTGGACAGCCAAAGCCCGGCTGTTCATGAATCTCAGTTTCTGGTACTTCGCCACGTCCCGAATCCGCTGGTTCAACGTTGCACCCCTCTGCCGTCTGTATGCCTGGATGACGCAGTTGCGCGAAGCACTTGCCAGACTGAGTACCTTCCTGGCCTCCGCTTTCTTGACCAGCTGGTGACTTCGCTCTACTGAGAGGGACGTGCAGGCGAGATGCGCCACAACTCCGTCAACCTGCTGCTGGACATCCTGAGAGAGTAAAAATTCGAGGGCCTCCACTGCAGACGCTCGTCGCAAAGCATCCCTCTGCAAGGGCCACGCAAAGCCAACATCCAGCTCTGACGCGCTAAGCTCCAGGAAACTGCGGGCAAACGCAGCGTATGCATCTGGGTTGTGCCGGGACAGGGGATCCAGTGCTCAGGGGTTTCTCGGGCTATTCTAGGAGTTTTCGCTTCTGACCCTGAAACCTCCGACTCAACCGCCAGATGCTATACGGAAAGCGCTTGAATTCCTCAAACCGGATGATGATGGTGGCTTCCGTGGTCAGCAGTCCTCGAATGGTGTCTATCAGAGGCAGCGCTGGATCCAAGCCCAAGTCTCTGAAAGTGGCTACAAGTTCCTGAGATGTTTGCTGCTGGACGTAAGAATTGGAAAGTTGCTTTAGCAGCGGCTCCTCCCCTGCCTTGCGCTCCTTCGCTGTTATGCTCGTGGAGTGCATGGTCAACCTCAAGCATAGAGCTGCCGTCCGCAGATGCGCAGCGCTCTCAGCTTTGTTGTACCATGTCGAAAATGCTCGCAGGCGGCGCTGGCTTTGCAGCTGAGGGACGATGGTCAGCGTGGAGAACACTGTTGTTGGCAGTCCGATGAGCTGCATGCGCAGAAGTCCCCAAACGCAGGGGCCAAAGAGAAAGAATCTTGTTTGCACCGGGTGTTCTTCCACTTGAAGGATGCACCTGTACAATGTCGCCAGTGCCTTCTTACAGAATTCTTCCAGCTGTGGCCCAGCGAGGTGCCCCGCACTGTACAGGTCCAACAGAGCTGGAGGCAACACTGCGTCGCCATATAGTCGCTGAAGTGCAATCCTGGCTTCAGACTAGAATAAAGAACCAGTGAAGGACATCTCCCTCTTAGGTTTGAGAGACCCAAAATTAGATCCGCCGTCCTCACTACGGACACTCTTGAAGCAAGGCTCATGCGATCTGCAGACTCTGCGTGGAACATTTCGTTTGCGTGCTGGAGCAAGTAGGCCTGCAAGTTGTAGCCCCACTCCTCCACATAGTCACGAGCCATGTGTTTGTAAAACCGGCTGCAGTTCGCGCAAATTTCGCTTTCCAGCCGCTTCTCCTTTCGACTGGAACCACAAATTGCAGCTTGCACCGCCAAGTTGGAGACGTGACTCGCGCACTTTGCAGAAACCAGCGACACATGCACAGAGTTTGGCTTGTATTTCTGCATTGCCTCCCACAATCGCTTGCTGGCATTTTCGTTTGTACCGATAGTGTCTCCAGTGACCATGATGATAACGCGGAGCTTGCACCCGCTGGCCTGAAAACCTGCCAAAAGCAGGTCAATGATTGTTGCGCAGGACTGGTGCAAAGTCGCTGCCAGTGTTGCTCCGTCCTTGCGACGCAATGCCGCAAGTTCTGTGAACACAGGCATTTGCACTGACTCCGTCATGAGGGCCACATCCTGGTTCTGGACTTTCGAATATTTTCCCCGACTGAGCGCAACTCCTAGGTCTTGGACATTCGTGAGATGTGACCGAACCTGAGATGCATGGAGGTCGCAGCTGTAGACTAGGTTGCAACACACCAATATGGATGCGAACCGCCCCCCCCCCCCCCCGACGGCCCCCTAACACTCTCTGGGACCCCCTAGCCCCCTGCTCCTGAAACCCCCTGAAACCTTTTTTTACAAAAAAAGCACCCTTTTTTCTCCCCCCGACGGCCCTCTAACACTCCCTGGGACCCCCTAACACCCGGCCCCTGAGACCCCCTGAAACCTCCCCTTAGAAGGGACTGTAGTACGCTTTTTTCTCATCCCTATTAAGGTCTGTTAGTATAACGGGAACATCCAAAGATACCCAACAAAAACACGCTGGCATCGAGATGCCCGCATGGCTGCCTCATCCTGAACAATCCGGATAAAAACGGCTTGGGACTTCGCCTCTTGCCCAGATCGTCCCAACAGCTGCCCGACGTGCTGAATGGCACGGCGATTGAACATCTTGATAAGTTCCGCAAACGCATTTCGAGCCCGGGAAATGCTGAAGGAACTGATTGGATGCTCCTCGTCCACCAGAAAATCACGGCAGAACTCGTTGACTGTGGTTGGGGGCACATATGGATTTGACAGCCCAGCTCTGAGAAACCAGACATACCCCAGCCGTCCAGACCTTTTCTGTGAAAGAAGCTCGTCAAGCTGTTCCCTTTGCTGGCGCACGGCACGCTTCAGGCGCTTCAACTCAGCCGCTGGAGCGCTGGAACTGCCCCTCTTGGGACCAGGCTGTTTAGTCAGCTCAAACTCCCCCTCCATCGCGGAAAGCAGAGAATCCAAAGCAGCACAGGTGGTGGCATAAGGGTTCCCATCATAACCCAGGCTTGCGCGGAACTTCTTGGCTTCAGCGTAGAAGCCAGATGCTTCTATTTCAGCCATGTGGCCCCTTGATACCCAAAACGGCTGCCTTGCCGTCACAAACACTATTAAGTCTCAAAGCTCCCCCCTAGGATCGCTAGATAGTGCCCCAACTACCAGCAATTATGGCCCTCGAGGCTTCCATTATATTCTTCCTAATTTACCTACAGTTTTATGGGCCATACCTACTAATTAAGGGTAGTTCCCACTAAACTGTAGGCAAATAGAGTCCCAGGTAATCCCTGCAGTAAAGCCAAGCCCGAAACTCAAGGGTGACCGAATAGGCCACACTCTTGCGGAAGCTTGACCCTACTTTGGACTAGACCCCGGAAAAATATCTACTTTTTTAGGTACGGGAGCTAGAATAGGAACCCAAAACCCAAAAGTATTAAAGTACAGTACTCCTAAACCCTAAACCCTAAACCCTAAACCCTTAACCCAGTTGGTGGATCAAAGTCGGGAAGGTGCAGGCCTCAGCACTACCCCAAAAGCCATGTTTGCTTGCGTTTGTTCTGACATGTATGTTGAAGCCCAGTAACCATAGGGATTAGGGTTTAGGGTTTAGGGTTAAGGGCTCAGGGTTTAGGGTTAAGGGCTTAGGGTTTAGGGGGTTGGTTACTTTATAAGGGAACCCAGAACCCAAAAGAAAAGGGTAAAGGGTACCACTGGGCTACCAAGCATGTATGTGGAAGTTGTACGGTCTGGAAGTTGTACGGTTCTTTGCTCAGCTGCCTTTTAAGGGCCCATATGAAGGGACCATGTATCTACCCCTAAACCCTAAACCCTAGACACCATAAACTATACACCCTACAGTTAAGCCTGAACGCTCTGTCAAGGCGCAGCAGTCTCTCATTGAGGGTACCATGAGCTTCGCGCGTGGAATGCAAGCGCCTGTCTCGTTTGTTCAAGGAACCGATTCCCACCGGATGCTAATCTTAGTTACTGAGTTCATAGGCCCCCCCAAAAAAGTGTACACTTTCAGTTCTTCTTAGGGGGATGATAGTATCCCAACAAGTGTAAAGCGTGCTCACTCAGCTACTAGGTGATTTTACAGCACCTGGGGATCCAATTGAAGTTCCCTTCAAGGCCATCTCAAGCACGGAAGTCGGTGCTTAATGTTGGACTGGCTTTAGTGAGAGGGGGCACTATTATGCGATGTTCCGGAAATCCTATAGGGGACCCCCCCATTGATAGGGTGGGCCTCAATAATGCGATGTTTGCCGGCCGGGGTTGCAGGGCGGGGGGCCGGGGAGCCAAAAACTAAAAACAGTTTTGAATAAGAAAATCCCGGAGTTTTTTGGTGTCCAGCCTTATTTAAATTCCATTTAAAATTTCATTACGAAACAGGCCCCCAAACAATTTTCCAAGGGAGTAGCCCACGAGCTGCCCTGATTCGCTTTAGCAAGTTGTTTCGGTGGTCCGCATTTATGCGGAGCCCCGGCGACCGTGGAGCTACAAAGCCTGGAAAGCTTAGACCCTCAAGCTTCAAAGGCTTCCCCTCAACCCTCGACCCCTAGCCGCCCTACCCCCAGCCCCGTCCCAGCCCCAGCCCACACTATTCAGGATCCCCGAAAACCCCAAAATTGTTTGGGGGCGGGGGGGGGGCCCCTACGTACTAAAGCGAGTCCAACATTACCCCAGACGATGAGAGAAGCCAGGGGTCTTAGATGTGCTGTGCAGTCGACTCAACGGTGTAGCTATCAGCTGAACGAAGACATGTAGGAGACGTAGCGCAGCCATCAACCCACCCTAAACCCGCCCGCCACCCCACTCTCTTGTCTTTTGGGGTAGGCGGGCGCTGGTCGAGTCCTCAGTGAGACCCTGGGAGGGAGCCCCGGGCGGGCGACCGAGCTGGCCTCCAGGCTGGCCTTCCAGGCAGGCACAGGCCGAAGCAGCAGCCCGCGCACATTGTTGGGTCCTGCATTGGAGGCCGGGGCCCTGGAGACCAGGGGCTGTTTTGTTGGGGCAGGCAAGACTCTGGTGTCCTGGCCCGGCACCCTGTCTAAGCTGTCCGCACCCAAGCTGTTCACTGCCTGTTTTCCCTGGCCCTGCCTCCCTGGCTTTAGCCCCTTCGCGCCAACCAAGCCTCGCTGCCTTTGTCTGTTCCTGGCCATAGCCCCTTCGCGCCAACCCAAGCTGTCTTCGCTGACCCTCCCTCGCCGTTCCGTCTGCGCATACTGGTGTCTTGTCCTTGCCCTGCTGCAGCTTTGTGCCTGGTCCACGCACCTTGTGGAGGTCCCCGAAAGGGCGTGAGCGCTGACTCATGTGATGCTTTGAAAAAAATAAGGTCTTAACTCCTTGAGAGTTGTAAGTGGGCGGTCTTGGGGTGGGTAGGTCTGCAGACTACCGCGCGTTCCCAAAGCGCGCTTCCGTTGGGACGCCCTAAACCCTAAACCCTAAACCCTGAACCCTGAACCCTGAACCCTGAACCCTAAACCGAAACCCTAAACCCTAAACCCTAATAAAAGCCCAAAAGACCAACTTGAGGACCCTCCGACTGAGAACTGGGCGCTGGCTACAGTCGGGGCAGAAGCAGCTGCCGTCTGTACCTGAAAGCACTTCGATCCCACGATTCGAGGCCGTTTAGGGTTTATATAGGGTTTAGGGATAGGGTTTAGGGTTTAGGGTTTAGGGTTTAGGGTTTAGGGTTTAGGGTTTAGGGCTTAAGATTTAGGAAAAGGGGTTTAGGGCCAAGGGTTTAGGGTTTAGGGGTTGAGGGTTTAGGGTGTGAATCTATAGGGTTTGTAGGGTTTAAGGTTCCCTAAAGCCCGAAGACAATTTTGGGTTGCCAAGATTTCAGGGAGGCTTTAGCAGAGTCCACGTGCTAACCCCACACAACCCTGAGCCAAAGAACCTGAACTTGAACTCCACAACCCCGACATTAAATTCTAAACCCCTAAACCCGCTAACCCAAACCCCAAGTGATGATAAATAAGGCCTTCAAACCGGAGACCCTAAACCCTAAACCCTAAACCCTAAACACTAAACCCACATGGTAGCAGGAAACGAACTGCCGAGGCGACGGCAGATGCCCTTGCGACCGCACAGGGCGCAGTCGACCCCTCAGCGGCTCAATGTCTCCAAGTTTCACAGTTTTGGGGTTTGGGGTTTACGGTTTAGGGTTTAGGGTTGAGGGTGTCAGGCTTGATTGCCCTAAGCCCTCAACCCTAAGCCCTATAAAGCCTAAACCCTAAACCTGAAGTAGGGCTTCATTCGGGTTTTGTGTGTAGGGATGCGGGATCTCCTAATTTGTGGTGATTCTTCCAGAAATACACACCGGAAGCGCCTTGCTCTTGGGTGGGTGGGTGGGGGGGGGGGGGGGGGGCACCTTGCGCATTCTGTCCGCATGTTGGACTAGATTTTGGAGTCAGAATCTTCTCACCCCCCAAGACTGAGACCTCCAAACACCAACGTCCAGAAGCAGACCTCACAGTTCATCTAGGGATTTTGGGGTTAGGGTTTAGGGTTTAGGGTTTAGGCCAGAAACTCGCTTTCTTGTACACTGAGCTCCCCAATATTCTCTAAGGAAGTGAGCCTCCCTTCCTGTTGTGAGGAGCCCAGGACGCCCAAGAAAGGCAAGAAGGGCACAAAGGGAGATCTAACCCTAAACCCTAAACCCAAAACCCTAAACCCCAAATTCTTAGTGTAGGTGACTTCTCGAAGGCGTTGATGGTGCATTCTGATACGAACCTAGGAATAAAAGAGGGTGGTTCGCAGGGTCTAAGGGGAACCGAAGCCCTAAAACAGAGGAATGAGGGCCTACTCTGGATCCCGGTAGCCCTAAACCCTAAACCCTAAACCCTAAACCCTAAACCCTAAACCCTAAACCCTAAACCCTTTACATCCCCTGGGGAATCTACATAGGGTTGAGGGTCCAGGGTTGTGGCCCCCCCCTTGCCCGCAAAGGGCGCCTCGAGCCTGCGCCACGGCGGCAGAAGCTGCAAGAGCCTCGCACAAGGGCTTGGCGTTTAGGGTTTAGGGTTTAGGGTTTAGGGTTTAGGGTTTAGGGTTTAGGGCTTAGGGCTTAGGGTTTAGGGTTTAGGGTTTAGGGTTTAGGGTTTAGGGTTTAGGTTTAGGGTTTATGGCTAAGCGCTCAACCCTATCCCTAAACCCTAGACCCTAAGCACTAAACCCGAAACACTAAACCCATACTCCCCCTAGAACCTCCATAAACAAAAAATCATATCCTCTTGGGTTTTATATAAACAAAAAATAATTCCCAAGGGGGATATAGAAACCCTGAACTAAGGTTGAGGGCTGAGGATTGAGTGGTGAGTATGGGAAATTTGAGCTTGGGATCCTGGACTCCAGGACCCTAAGCCTGAGGGTTCAGGTTTAGGGGTTTAGGGGTTTAAAGGTTTAGGGGTTTAGGGGTTTAGGGGGTTTTAGGGTTTGGGGTTTAGGGGTTTAGGGGTTTAGGAGTTTAGGGGTTTAGGGTTTAGGGTTTAGGGTCCGGGATGGTGGTCGTCACACTTAGGGTGTTGAGGGGGTTGTAAGGTCTTATAGGGGGGGGGGGGGGGGGGGGGGTGGGGGCTTCTGGGGGGGGGGGGGGGGGGGGGGGCTCTCTGAAGCTTAGGGTGTAGGGGCTAAGTTCACGCTTTAAGATATAGGGTTTACGGCTGAGACATGAGAGTGTAGCGTTCGAAAGGCAAGTGCCAACAGCGCCCAGGACGCTGCAATCACCTCGAAACCTGCCGTTGTGAAGCAAATGGCGCCATTCTGCCGGCTCCTTAGGGTTTAGGGTTTAGGGTCTAGGGTTTAGGGTCTAGGGTTTAGGGCCTTTAGGGTTTAGGGTTTAGGGTTTTCCATCATGCATTCGTGAGAGATGGCAGGCATCCCAAGGTCATATTAGCGTTCGGCATCTAGCAAAAGTGGCTGGTGCTAACACTTCGAAGCCGTCCAAATCAGACCTTGTGACTTTAACGCCATTCTGCCGGCTCCTTTAGGGTTTAGGGTTTAGGGTTTAGGGTTTAGGGCCACTGGTGCTTTGAATCATGGCAGGGACGAACTGGGGCGCCCTG